GAAGGGAGGAGGTGGCAGCTGCTCTCGGGGTGAATGGGCTGAGCGGAGAGATGACAGTAATAAGCCTGAGGCTTAGAAATGAGGACAGAGCAGCAAGAGTTTCTTGGACAGTTCTTGGATAAGAGCACAAAAAGCATAGAGGTTTTAAAATTAGGCTTAGCTATAAAAAAGCTTGGGAACAACTATTTTGGCTTAAGATAGCATGGGTAAATGGGAATGTAGTGACCCCAGGTGTCCTTCTTGCTCTCCGGCAGTCTAAGGTTCAGAGGTGAAAGCAGAGTCTATAATCTTTCAAACAGGATCAAAGAGATTGCTTTCTCTGGGTTCTCCAGGAATTTAGTGACTTCCACAGTTCCTTTTTAGGCCATTGTATCTTCCTGTAATATACTGCAATATTTTTCATTGTCTGATGCTTTAATGCATTCATCTGTATTTTCTTAATCGTACAGAATCAGTCTTAGTTTCCATCACTGGAGCTGTGCTAATTGGCCTAAAACTTAGTTATCTTAGGCTTTCTTTCTTGATGAACCAAATAATTATCCCTATGTGGACAAAAAAGAAAGCAGCAAAATTTTACCTTTCTTTAACCTAACTGTTATGCTACAGTGCCTCTGTGGCCAAAGATTACAGGCCCATGAAGCTAAAATGAGCCCTCAGTTTTGAAAGACATTTTGCAGTGTATATTTACAACTGATATGTTAGTCTTTCTTTAATACAATTCCTAGTTTAAATTATGGCCAAAATGGATGGCCAATAGGAGCATGAGTTTGCAGTGTTGGTCCTATGTCCTTAATATTAACTTGGCACTATTTAGACATCCAGAAATGACAATGGAAACACAGGGTTCTGTCAGGCTTGAAAACTTTTACAGTCTTGATAATACACTGTCTTTTAGCTGCTTATTTCCTATAGCACACAAATCAACCTGATTATCTACTAAGTCATTTTTCAAATGCTAATTCATTTTTAGAATTTGCAGTGGTTTGGCAGCAAATCTCTTCTAGATATACGAGGATGCCATTAATTGATTTTGGGCAGAGTAAGAATACATTTAAAAACAAGACAATCTAATTTCAGACAAAAATCAATTATATTTCTATCATGTTAGTGTCAAGACTGACTAAAAATTTGAAGTCTTTGAAATGTTCTCTTACACTTACTTAAAGAAAATGCTAGCAATTTGAATAAAAATTAAATATTGTTTTCCATTCTGTTGAATTATTGAAAAGTCTGGAGGGGAATTTTCTGAAAGATACAGAGATTATTTTTGTTTCCATAAAGACTCAATTCTGGTAGCAAAATCCCAGTTAATTTTTGGTTTCATCTTCCCAGATTCTTAATTTATCAATGTATGTGAACTGTAATTACATGTTGGGCAAACAATTTAAACCATTATTTTCAAATGTTATATTTAAATAATGAAGCTAAAAGCAATTAAAATAAGTGTATAATCCATAGAGGCACGTTTACAACTATTAGAGATGTCAGAATCCTGTTGTCTCAAACTGTAATCAACATATTCCTGTACTAACAATTCAGGTATTTTGAAAGGTTTGCTTTATTGCTGAGCAGATGTAATCCCTTTCTAATGGCCAAATGCTACTACTACTCATTGAACAGTACCATCCTTTTACAAATAAATCTTACTGATTTCAGAGGGACTTCTCAGGAGAAAAGGTTCTAATTTATGTGACTACGAGGGATGAAATCTGGCTCTGTATTACCTGTTTGTTATAACTTGTCTTTTCCTTACAGAACTATGTGATTTCTTCCTTTGTTTTCATATTATATTTAGTACTTCTCATATCATATTTAGCATTACTTTAATGATACATACTTGATTGCAAAATTACATTTGACACTTCTGAGATAATAATAGATCCTTTTGATGGGAGCCTCAATCAGCCAGAGCTGTGAGACTGATCTACCCAAACATTTTGCCTGTATAGAGCTCCCCAAAGAAATTCAAAATGCTTTTAAACTGAAACAAACACAAAATATGAAAGTAAGCACTTAAAGAAATGTCAAATGACAAAGAATAGAAATAAGAAGGCTTATACACAATTCTTCTCTGGCCCATTTGGTTTCTGCCTCTGGACTTGATTGAAGTTCAATCTATAAATTTCTCATAGCTAGCAAACAATTTCTTCAGAAGCATCCCTTTGGCTCCTAGGAAGTTCCTTCCATCATTTCTGAGGCCTGGCTCTTTGTGCCTAGCTCTGAATAATGAAAGTTTTTCTTGTTCCTGCTCAGATTTTCTCCTTAACGAACACGCTCGATTGCTGATCAGGTAGGAATTATCTGTTTCCTTCGTTCCCAGAGTGACATCTGACGCAGTCATTTAAAAGACTATAACATAGTTGTGAATAAATGCAAAAAAACAAACAAACAAGCCAACAAACAAACAAAAAAATCCCAAAAGAATTACTCTGCCAAATCCTTGTTCATAAGAATCCTTTCTGTTATTTGGTTTGCTTGTTCTAATTATAATCCTAATCTATAGAAATAGTACAAAGTTTTAGAAGGAAAGACTAACAAGTAGAATCCTTAACATGAGAACATCACTAATGCTGCCAAGTTTAGATTGCCCCTTTACCAGGTCCACTTAAATGTAAGGTTTTCCAGCAGTTGTCTCATTCTTCTATCCAGGCCACAAACACAGCAGAGCTTAATACCTGACACAAATAATTATGCCCATAGAGATTCTGGATGAAACCAGACTTTCCCAATTGCTGCAGTGAATTAAACTTACATTGTAAAATAAGGCTTTCAAAAGAAGACCTTCAGTCATCATGGAGAAAGGGTATCAGTTGCTGCAGAACGGACAACGAGAACGTACCTCTCTCTTTGGCTCCTGCACGTCCATTGCTCCAATGAACCTTGTAGCCATTCTTTGATTATACAAAGAAGAAAAGGACTCAGCCTCCCAAGAGTAGGCAAACCTAATCTGCACAGTGGCCCTATCTCTGTCCCCTCGCTTCATACATTTCATAAAGGAACTTGAGCCCTTTTGCCACCTCTAGTAAATCTGACCTGTGATTGAACGAACCTCCCACAAATTAGGTGTTTGAGTAGTGTGATCATTGTTTAAACAAGGAAGAAAGGAAGCAACAGCAATAGTTGTGATGGCATCTGTTTTTTATAATCTGCACAGTATTTGTTCAATACCGTGTGGAATAAGAAGGCTAAAACTATGAGGATTTGACATTTGCATCCTGCAGATGTTACTTCTCCCTCCTCTTTTAACGTATATGTAGTTGGCAAACTTTTCATTGTAAGACCTCAAAACTAAGTACACCTTATAAAGATTGTAACGTTTCCCCTTTTCACAGTGCACAGTGAAAATGCACAGTGAATTTAACTAGAAGAATATTCATCACAGCAGCTGCAAATTCTGGAAGAGTTTGTATTTCTTGACTTTGAAGTCTTTGCCATATTCACTGCAACCTACTGTCATATTAGGTCCCATACCTATTATGTCCAGAACAGTGCTAAAATAAATTATTAAAATATGGGATATTGTTCTCTGTTAGGTGGCAGTATAGGTATGACCTTTGGAAAACTCCTTCAGCGTACTTTTCTAAAAAACAGTTTTATTTTATATATTGTGCTAGACCAGCTTTAAAAAAAACAAACCAACAAAAAATTGTGAGGTTCGTTCTGGTCAGTATTAGAGCTATTCTTGGAACGAGTATGATGGAACTTTTTTGCTCGTTTTTTTCTTTACATAGACTTTATAGTAACGGATAGCTAAATGGTATGCCTGGCAGTGCATTACCAAATTTAATTTCTGTGCTATGCATACTATTTTGCACTTTAACACTGCCTCCAACTGCTCCAGGTAGGAAAATGAATTATGCAAATTTCTGTCATGGAAAAAGGTAACATAGTTCTTGAGGCAGTGAAAAAAGGCCCTTGAGATACATCTATATGGTAGTTTCAATATTAAGTGACTCATTGGTTTTCAGTATTTTTTTGCACCTTGGTTTGGCATAAGGACGAATTCCTGGGAAACTATTTGACCTCTTAATGTGTCTGTGCTAGCTATGCAAAATAGGCTTCAATGGTTAGGGCTCATTTTTGCTTGAATGAGAATCAGTTAAAGGATAGCAAAAGATGGTGTTTTTATCTTTGTGATTTCTCTGTGACAGTTGAGCACCGGAATAGGCATTCGACAATTTGAACAAAACGCTTGATTAATTGAGCTCTTTTAATAATACGAGAAAAAAAAAAACCTTTAAAGTAGTGAAAACTCGGCTGAATGTGAAACAGAGGTAATGTTTATTACAGTAACATTTTAAACTGATGTAAAATCCCCTGATCCATTACATATTACAACCGGTATCAACAATAGAACACTCTCTACACTGTATTTTACCTTTGAAAACTAATGGCCCGAAACTGCCAAGGTCTGAATTGCCTCTGTATTACTACTTAGATGAATAAGGACTATTCATGGAATTGTCACGAACAAATCATGTCAAACCGATCTAATTTCCTTCCACGTTATGGTTACAAGCTTCACAGGTGGGCGAGAAGCAGTAGATGAGGTGGATCTTAAGCCTTTGCACGTATTTCGTAGGACATAAGGATCAGAAGCATGACTTTGCTGAAACCACTGTAAGGTGGGTGTAAACCAGCTGGAAAACTAGAACCAGAGCAGTCATCTGTGCTTCAATATTAGTGTTATATAAAAAACCCCACCAGCTGGTGTCTGTCCTGGCTACAGGTCGATTCAGTGTTTTAATTAATGACCCAATGATAAAATAGAGAATGCTTATCATGTTTGCAGAGGACACAAACCAGGGAGGGGCTACAGCCGCCGCTTCAGACCCCAAGATCAGAATTCCCAGAAGTTTTCGACAAATTTAAGAAACGGTGTAGAAAAACAGAATGAAATTCAGCAGGGACAAGTGCTACGTTATACAGAATAAGCCCAAAACAATTAGTAATGCGTACAGCCACCCCGTGTTTTCCTCTTGGGCACAGCTGTCTTACAAATGGTGGTAAGGTGGCGGGTTTTTTGGTGCTGCTGCTTTACACTGCCACCACTCGGCGCTTTACGTTTGAAGGCGGCACGTTCCGTAGCGGATCCCAGCGACGGTTCATCTGCAAACCAAGGAGACGCCGTCACGGAGGTAACGAACTGCCCAGGCGAGACCGCTGTCTGCCGGGCCGCGGCGCTCCGCGGCAGGTAGCAGGCCGGGAAG